ACATGCACACCCACCGCCCGCTCCCTCCCTCCCTCCCTGCCGGCCGGGCTCCGGCCCGGACATCGTCTGTGGCAGCCTGTCCTGCAGCCGCTCCTCCTCACCGTCACCCATTGTCCTCCAAGAGATGATACCTCCAGATCCACGCGCTGTGCAGAGCAGAGCGCGTGTTTTAGCACGGCAGTAGCCGGGGCAGACGCTGTTATCTGGTTGTAGTTCCTTCAACGCTAATCTCGCGTCTCAGATCTTCCCACGCTGTGGATCAGGCGGTGTTTCCAGTTGCCTGGGGAGCCGATGGGAGAGGCAGCCAGCATAGCTGCGGCCCCTGCCACCCGACCGCTGTTGGGCTGGCTGCAGCGTGGCTCTGTGCGGGCACGAGCTGCCAAGATTCTGGCTTGCTCTGCAGGCTTTTGGGGCAGAAGACTGGGAACAGTGTGTTTCAAAAGTCGTCTTCATTTAATTTATTTTTTTTTATTTTTTGAGGGGTTAGAAACGTGATTGCAGAGAAGGCGCTTTGTTGTCGCAGCTAGGAGTGGCTGGAGTAACCTAAAAATAGAACTAGGTTAATCTATACAGTGCTACACAAATATCTTCCTCGTGAATTTGTGATTGATCTGTTCGAGAGCCTTTCTCTAGGTGATTGATGTTGGAGGATGTATTCTGTTATCTCCTGTCCCTAGGATTTAGTTGACAACAATCTTAAACGTGGCAAGAGAAATCTAAGAGACTTTGGAGGGCTGACTTGTCTAGAAGGCAGGAAGGGGGAAAACTTTGATGCTTGCTGCTCTGTCGTTGAGTTAATGGCATGCACACTAAAATAATTGCATCAGAAATAAGTACAATAATATAAATTTGGGATATTAAAAGGGACAAAATACTGTTTTGTTATCTTGGGGCTTTTGTTGCATTTATTTCAGTAAATATGTCACAGTTGATGATTCCCAAATATGTGAAAGTAAAGTCCTAAGAGCAGAGAGTTGTTATTTATTGTTCGTCATAGGAACCGAGCTGGCATCCTAGTTGGGATTGTTTGATAGCCAGGTAATCCTGCCCAGAATTCATTTGGATTGTATTCCTGCTTCAGTTTGCTGTCCTGTTTGTGTGCGTGCCTGGGTTGTAGCTGCCCTCTGCAGAGGGAGCTACCTCTGTAGCTGCTGTGCTTGGGCTGCTGTGACAGCGAGTGCAGTGTGTGAGGAGCAGCCAGGGAACAAAGAATTGCACTTCGGTGTGTTCTGAATCACAGCTTGCTGCTCTACTTCAGCATGGGTCTCACTGCTCTCTAAGGGACACCAACTGTAGCCTGTATGGTCTTCTACCCAAAACTAGTTTTTGCTGAATACCCCAGATGTATTTTAATGAGTATTAAAAAAGAAAGCTGTTTTGTGCATCTGTGATTAAGAAAGTGAATACTTTCAAGTAATATGAAGTTTAGTTAAATTAGTGGTAGATCATTCCAGTAGAAAAAGCTTCTTAATTATTAGTATCTGCTGCATGAAGTCTCATTGACTCTTAAATTACTTTATTTTCCTGTAATCTTTGAAAAATCTTGTTTGCTACTCTTTGTCTGCAGGCTGAAATACTCAAACGAATTCCAGCAAATGAAAGGAAAACTCTCACAGCAGAGTATGCAAAATCTACTCTTGATCTAAGAGATTAACCCATAGTAACAGGGCCCTAATTAATTATTCCCTGTTTTCTCCCTGTCATTGTATATTAATTCTTGAGGTAACTTTAAAGTTTGCTTCAAGCTTTTAAGCTAGGTTTTATATACTTAAGCAATTTATGAGCAGTCCAACTACTTGAGACTATGACTCTGCCAACTGACTTGCTAAATTCTGTGTGGTCTTTATTGCTGCTGATCTGTATTTAATCTATTTTAACCAGATGTTTCTTGACATTTGAAAATAAGTCCTTAGAATATTGCCCACAGGAAAATATGATTTTTAGATATATATGCCTTTTGGGGGGGAGGGGGGTTGGTTTTTTGCTTGGGTTTTTTTTTGTTTTGTTTTTGTTGGGGGTTTTTTTGTTGGTTTTTTTCTTTAGTTTGCAGGTCTTTCTCTGTTTGAGCACTGAATGAGTGCAGCAGAAAATAACCATTTTATAGCTCTCAACTGTGCAAATGTCTTTGTCCTCTGATTCTGCTCCTGTTTTTTAGATGCAGGATTATGTATGTTGTGTGACTCATTGCTGTTTTCCTGTTCTGTAGTTTGCTCCTGCTAGACACATTATGCTGTATTTGTTCTGTATTGTAATAAACTGTGGTTTACAAAATATCTTTGTTAGTGTCTTATGTGGAAAAAATGTATTTGTTGCACCTGGATCCATCCTGCTAAGCCCAGCCTTATAAGGTCTCTCACATTCTAAATAACTCCTTATGCTCCTTGCCAGAAAGGCCTTGGGCATGAAACATTTAGTAAACAGATGAGGAAAAGGTATGACCTTTAAACAACTCCCCCAGCCCTCACAAATTATTTGCTTTGAACGTTTTTGTATTATACACCTATGATTATTGTTAAAAAAGGCCAACTTCATAACAAATACTATTTCTAGATTTAAAAAATAAGCGAATATTTTTAAGGTAGTGGAAGCAGTGCTCTGTTTTAGCAGGTGAGTTTTATGTCTCAGAGTACAGATTATGGACTTGAAGGGTGATGCAGAGGAAACATCTGAGGATGAGAGGAAAGATCTGAGGAAATCTCTTGGGTTAGGGTTTAAGGTATTGCTGCTAGGTTTCCATTCTAAACATCTTGCATTCTCAGGCATTGAAATGTATAGAAATGAAATCTTCATGCAGAGAGATTCTTTGTAATGGCAGTTTGTTAGTAAGTGGAATTTGAAGAGCACAGACACTTCTGGTCAAGACCTTTCTGTATTGTCTTAACTAATGGTAGTTTTTCACAGCAGTGAGAAAGCCCTTTGCACCTAAACCTCCATTTTCTTTATGAAACAAGGGCAGCTCTAGTATAAATAATACTGCTTTAAAAATTTTTGAAATCTTGCCCATATACATGAGACCTGATTTTTGTGATCAAAAAGATCTGTGTAACATCTTCAGAAATACAGCTTTGCAACCTCACTTACTCATAGAGGGAGAAGTACTGTGAAGGCAAGAACCCCACACAGGCCTTTGCAGTTTAAAAATAAACATCTGAAGTACATGTTTGGTTTTACATTTGAGAAATTGGTAACTCAAAATTACCATTCCACGTAACTTAAAACAGCTGTTGATATTACAAGAGGTTGTTTCTGCTAAAGCAGAATTTAATGTTCAAAAAGGAAATTAAAATAATAGTGATAATTAGTCAGTGAGAAAGATAATCTCAAACGAAGGGAACCAAAACAGTTTGACCACCTGAACAGGGCAATTGTCATGCTCCTCCTGATTTTTCCATCTCAGCTTTTCATGGATTTGCTCTGAGCCTCATAAAGTAAGTTTCTCCACCTTTGCTGCACTTCTCCCCAAATGCAGTAAGTATTCATTCCCATTTTTCAGTTTAAAAAAACTCAACCAACCAAAACACCAAATGCAGGGAGAAGCAAAAGTATTTTTTTCCCACATCGATGCAAAACACCAGATGTGTGTACATAAGTGGAAAGGTATGTGGGTGGGATCATGGGCTTGCATTTGTGACTTGCAGACAAAATCATAAAACTGTAGGCCTAAGTGACTGTCTTGGAGTCCTATCTACAGCCTGTTACTGGACAGGATTAAGTCATTTTGGGGCAGAATAAGGTCTTTGGACCCTACTTATGCCTCAACTGAATTTTGATTTGCATGTGACTTCTATGCTGGCCTCACCTTTTTTCTTATTCATCCAACTGACAAAATTGTCATTGTGGGTGCATTTAAAAATACCTTAGACTATGCCTGTACTTAGATATAGCTGAACCTCACAGACCTCCTGTCATTAAAGTTCTGCTGGTATCAGCATGTCTCCACTAGACTGATACAGTCAAAATCTTCCCAAAGTCTAACATTGAATGGTTTTCTTTGTATAATGTGTTGTGGACTGGGGCAGATGTATTGGTCTGATGCGTGAAAAGGTTGTGTTTCCTGACCTGCCAGCTTGATGTGGCAGCACCCTGAGTTCTGTATTGGTTTTCTGCTTCCTACATGGGACCTGTGCTCAGAGCTGTGTCACTTTACAAGTGCAGAGTAGTTTGGAAAAAGAGATTTCATGCTTAAAGATCATAAAAATGGGAAACTTCTTTCCTCACAGCTTCTAAGTGTGAGATATAATTCAGCATGTCAGCATATAGGTGTATCTGACCAGACAGAGGAGAATTTAGATCTTAGTCAGCACACAAGAGTGTCAGAGCAAAGCTTTTAATAGAAGTCTTTGGTTTCAATCTTGTTACCTTCACATATCCTTTGTGCTGTCAACTCCAGTGTAATTACTACAAGTTGAGCAACAAAGTTCCTCCCTTCCCAGCCATTCTCACTCCCAGTTTTAGACCCTTTCAGTTCTTTTCAAGGCAGAGCATGAGAAGGACACAAAATCCTGAGATGTTTCAGTTTTGCTTCTGCCCTGATTTGCTTGATATCTCTGGTTGAAACTTGTGTTGGACAAACATGTTTACTGAGGAGAAGTTTCTGTGTGCTGCCTGCTGCCAAATATCTGGGTTGCAGGCGTGCCTAAATAGTAGGATGAGTAGAACTCTATTTAAATCCTCTTTTTACATTGTGTGGACTGTAACAGTAAAAAATAAACTGGCCCAAGCAGGAGACTGTGCATAAATAACTGCTCAGAAATGGCTGGATAAACTGTCAGACAAAGATACCAGTATTTATTTTGCAACACCGTGTGAAAGATTTAAACCTGAAGGTCATAAACCAAGGACTGGGATTTTGGAAGATTAAAAAATACCAGAAAACACCAAAGCCAAGTAGTGTAGTTTTAAATGCCACATGTATTTTACAGCGATTCACTTCTGTCTTCCTTCTTTCCCAGCTGAAGAATACACATTTCTATATAAAAATGATCTTGAGTTGGTCAAAGAACAAACTGTGATTGTCCTGGTAAAAGTACAGTTTGACTGGGGTAACATTAGTAAAGCTTGGCAAAGCTGATTTTTCACCATAGCTGCCAAACGTTTTTTTTTAGTTCAATTGTTCATTATTTCACCAAATTAAATAAAACATTGACCCTCAGGTAATCCTAGTGAGCAGAATTCCCCTGTGGTGTATGTGATGCCGGATCCTCCTGAAAGACGAGAAGTGAGCTGCATGGGTGCAGGGCTGGGCTCAGTGCCTGCTGAGAGTGTCTGTTCAAGAACAGTGTTTGCTGAAACTCTGAATAATAGCCTGATGTTCAGCACACAAGCCCTTGGGAGCCAGCTCAGGGACCCAGCAGCATCATTTGTTTGATGTATGTGAGGTGTTACAGGGAAATGGAAGCTTGTGGACAGTTGCAGGAAGTAAAAAATGCTTCCTTAAATGAATCTCAGCAAAGGTGGAATCACTTTCCCTGGTATTTTTATCTGTTTTGCCAGATAGAGGTGGTGAAGTCCTAGGTCTTATACACACATGAAGTTTTACTGTTTTGTATTTATAACCGCTTGCCAAGCTTTTGGGTCTGTTGTGCATTTAAATTCTGTACAAAATGTCAGCTCGGTATACAGGTATTCAGATAGATTCAAATTTTATTATTTTAAATGAGTCAACACTTTGCCCAGGTGACCAAGGAAGCCAGTGGCATCCTGGCTTGTATCAGACAGAGTGGCCAGCCGGATGGGGACAGTGATTGTACCCTTGTACTTGGACTGCTGAAGCCACACCTTGAATCCTGGGTTCAGTTTTGAGCCCCTCACTGGCCACAAAACTGATGCTGGAGCATGTCCAGAGAAGGGCAGCAAAGTTGGTGAAGGGGCTGAAAGTAACTCCTGTGAGGAATGCCTGAGGGAACTGGAGTTTAACCTGGAGAAAAGGAGATTCAGGGGAGATCTTATTACTCTCTACAACTGCCTGAAAGGAGGTTTTAGTTGAGTGAGGGTCAGCCTCTTCTCCCAGGTAACAAATGACAGGACAAGAGAAAATGACCTCAACTTGCACCAGGGGAGATTAAGATTGGATGTGATGAAAAATCTCTTTGCCAAAGGGGTTGTTGAGTAGTGGTAAAGGCTCCCCAGGGAAGTGGGTGAGTCACCATCCTTGGGGGTATTGAAAACATGTGTAGATGTGGCACTGAGGGATATAGTTTAGTAGTGGACTTGGGTTAATGCTCAATGATCTTAAAGGTGGTTTCCAACTTAAGTGCTGTGATTCAATGAAGTTGTGATTCATCATGGATCATGTAGGTGATCCAGCAGTATGCTTATTGTGCAACAGATTTTCTCCCTGATCACTTATACAAGTCCATCTTTTATTTCTGCAACCTTCTAGCAATGCTTCAAACTCTCTTATGTCTCCAGTGTGTTTGGTCTGCTCTACTGTTGTTCACTGAGTAGCAACTTGGTCCTGTTCCAGAGGCTGTGGCATTTACAACAGTTTCTTTCTGGGAGCATAACTCAATGTATCTGTGAATGTTAAGGACTTCTTGAAATTGATCTTTCATCACAGACTATTCTAAAGTACAGTAATGATCTCAGAAAAATCAGTCTTTGCTTAGTTGCATTGTTTGGTTAATTGCAGGCTTTGGGCCTCCCAACTGGAGGAAGGTGTTTTCTTGACAATAACAGCTCAGACATGGTATAGATGCTAAGACTGGTCATTATAATCTTGAAAGTGAGCATGCAGCAGCAAATAATGTGTCCCTTGTAAATACGTTGGTCATAATAACTTTAGTTATTTTCTTCTGAGTTTTCTTTCTGTTTGTCGGTATGATACCTGGGCTTTTTCCCCCTCCAGGATTAAAAGAAACAACTGCTTGTTGCATTGACTTTTTTCCAATGAAAAACATCCGAGCCCCCCAAACTCTTGATATCTGTCTTCAGTTCCATTATGTGCATA